GGGAGGAATATTCCCCGTGTTACTGCGCCGTTTTTTTTTTTGCGTCGCGCGGGATATTGTGGCGTGATTTCTTTGGGTACGCACGGTACCCTACGTGCGTAGTACTGATGTAATATTTTTTCAGAGAAAAGAGACCGATCCACCTAAAACCCTGAAAAGACGGAGGACGGATCAGCCCTCAAAACTCGTAACAAAAAGACCTGAAAAGGAAGACCCAAAGATCCTTGAATCAATCCAGAAAGATATCACTTTCTCACGTTTTTAAAAATGGCTGAACCAGAGTCAAAATGGCCTCACACACCAGTGACTTCCTAACATACTGATGCAATATTTCTTCCTTTTCTCTCACCCCATTTTTGTTCTTTTTTTCCTTGCTTCTTGGTTCGGTTTTTTATGCTTATGTCCGATGCATAAGTGTCCACGTATAACCTTTTGCTATACGTGAAACCATCAAGCAAGGTCGCAAGTAGGTCGGTTTTATTTTGGGACTTAGGGCGGTGATGACAAAGACACACCAGAGATAGAACATAATGATATGTCATCGTACGACGTCGGGATCCGATTCAGGAACCCATTAGGATCCGATTCAAGAACCCGGTGAGCTGTAGGATGACAATATCATTCACCCACACAAGACTGGCAAGAGTTGACCCGAATCTTCTTAGGTTGTTGGTAGTCTTATGCCCGGTAGTGCGATCGACTCGTGGACAACTACTTTTCAAAATTGATAAAAATAAATTTGATATGAACAAACACACTTTTTTGCAAAACAAAAATACATTTTTCGCTACATACAAAATTGATACAGCCCACTTTTCGCATGTTTGAAATCTATGTGCATGCTGAAAACATAAATTTTAAATACATTTTAAATATTGGTTGTCCACATGTTGATCACCTGTTTAGGCTAAAGAATACACTCTTGAGTTAGGTTCGATAGGACACCCTTTTAGTTAAGTGACGGGTTTTATACATCCGGGTGATCGAGTAGCCTTCGACGACCATCGAGTACTAATATATAGTTGAGCTTAACCCGACTCGAGTGCTTATGGTCCCCTCTTTTCTGACTTTTTTATATGTATTATCGAATTTTTTTGAACAAAGCACTCGCGATCCTCTTTCGGGATTTTCCCGTGTTTTCTATGATTTTAATCAATTTATCGATTCGTTGATTTCCTCGCATTTCTCTTGTCGTGAGTCTTTTGACGATCTTTCTCGAGATTTCTGGACGATGTTTCTTTAAAGCATTTCAGCCTGCTTCCTCAAATTTTGTTGCTTGTACCTGTTGCATCAATTACACCTAAGGAACAACAAATCTCCCAGGTATACAGGTTTGTTTTATGTTTACAGCATGTTATTCTCTTATAATCACTTTCGTGTTGTACCTTTACTTTTCTTTACACTGCATATTGTATTGCTTTCTTTACTGCATACTCTATTGCTTGTCCTGTGCTACATACTCTACTGTTATATTATACACTGTGTAACTTCAACATGTTCCCTATAAAATATCTGAAGAACTACAACCATAAGGTCGCTGGATTGACATTATAACCTGACGCCCTAGAAAATTTAAACTGGTCACGATAAGGAGTTTGGAACTAGCGCGGTGGGCAGCACGATCATCTTCAACAACATAACATGTTTTCCCCAGCTAAACCATTCATTTCCTAAAAATTAAAATAACAATCCATAAGATTTCGAGGTTGTTCGACTAGCGCAACATAAATCCTCAAATTTTTTGTTAGGCATTTGTATAGCTTTGCTGTACGATCTAAGCCCTAACTCGTTTTAGGATTATGAGGTTGTCGTTCGTTATGACCTAAATCTTCACATCTTTCAAGCTATTTGTGTGGTCGTTTCACACGAATGTAAGCCCTAAATAAATAAAATTGACGAGATAAAATACTTGAATATTTCTTCTCGAAACTGAAGCCAAACCATAGGGTAGACTGGGAAGTCACCAAGGATCTTCTCTAGATCTGTGACATCCTCTAGTTCTTCTTCCTTTGAATTCTATAATAAATGTTCCAAATCTGAGTCATTCCCCTTTTGCACACCTTTTTGCCTGATTTCGTTGAAAAGTTCTATTCTTTTGACCTCCTCGAAGACAATCTTTCCTGATTTTTATCGAGAGTATTCTTAAGTGACTTCGGTCATTTAAGATTTAAGGAAAGCTTAGCTATCAGATTAGTTAATTACATCTTAAATGACCGAAGACATTCTAAACAGAATTGCCACTCACAAATAATTTATCAAGAAGGTGGTTGATCGAAATCAACACGCATCCACTGCGTTGGGCGTAGGTTGAAGAGGCGCAGGATAAAGAGGAGATCGTGGCTAGGGCAGAGGCGACTAGAAGGGGAGCAAAAGTTGTCTGTGCACTCAAATTTGGGAGCCCTCTCCTTCATAGTATCACGCGAAGTCGAACCAGACCCTGCGATTAGTTCCCGTGCTGTGAGAAGGTCTAGGTGGTGAAGTGGCGCGACTAGTGCAGAGACGACACGAAGATTTTTGTGAACAAAGCAGAAGCAGGCAAACGAAGCAGAAGCAGACGAATGAAGATGGTACGACTAAGGCCGAAGTGAGGCGACTAATGCAGTGCAAAAGCAGACGAACGAAGATGGCACAACTAAGGCCGAAGTGGCGCGACTAAGGCAGAAGCAGGCGAACAAAGATGTCGAAGATGTCGCGAACGAAGATGTTGCGATGAGAAGATCGCGACTAGGGCTACTGCTGAAAAATACCAAGGATTCAGACTGATTCATGCTCTGATACCATGTCAAAGTTTTTGTGAATAGACTGAATATCTTTTTTCTTACCTTTCATTGCTATAAATAATATTATGTACAATCTATTTTAGGTACATAATAAAGTGCATAATATATTTTACTTAACTTAATAATATGTTTTCCTAATCTAAATATTTAACTTAAAAGGAAAAGAATACGTGCATAAATAAGGGTTTTAATGCGGCATTCTAAAGAAGAAAACTCTTAATTCTGCCTGAATTTATTTTCTCCTTATTTACTTCTTATTGATAAGCAACTCCAATACTATTCTCAAATGCGTCACATTATCATCATTGATTTTTGAATAAATCATAATATCATCATTAAAGACAATGACAAATTGATCCACATAAGACTTGAATATTTGATTCACCGGTTTCATAAAAATTGCAAGGTCGTTTATTAGACAAAAATACATAACTAAGAATTCATAAAAACTATACTTGGTCCTAAAAATTGTCTTAGTTGTATGTCTCATTGTCTCGATCTGATGATATCTCAATCTCAAATCACATCAGGAAAATACAGTAGTGCCCTCTAAATGATCAAATAAATAATTGATGATTGGCAGTGGATATTTATTACTGATTGACATCTTGTTCATTTCTCTATGATCAATACACAATTGCATAACTCTATATTTCTTCTTGATAAATAATACTGGAGCGCCCAAAGCAAATTGCTTGGCCTATTAAAACCCTTATCTTTCATTTCTTACATAATTCCTATAGTTTTTTCGGAGCCATCCTATAAAAAGATATGAAAATTGTAGATGCCCCTTGCTGCATGTCAATACCAAATTCAACTTTTCTATTCAACTTTTTTTTCTGGCAGTAGCCTTGACAATTTTTTATGACATACATAAAAAATTCTACAATAACAGAGTTCTTCGAATTCCACACATCTTTATTTAAGACTTCTAATTGGCTAGAAATAATAGTTCACCACTTTGCAGATACTTTTCAACTTTAGAAGATTGTGCATGCATATCACAGGTAAAATAAAATAATTTCTCCTCAAACAAATTAAATTTCACTTGCCTTTTCTAGCATTCGATTATAACAAAGTTCTTTACCAACTAGTTCATCCCCAATCTAACACCGAATGTCTTAATTAATATGATAATTAGTTCTGCTAGCAGCTTCTTATCATGGATGGTAACATGTACGATACATTTTAATTTTGTATAAAAACCACTTCCGAAGGCAGCAGAACACATTGATTTTTATCTAGGTCTTAATTAATCCACACATGAAGATACATGTCCATATTTACATCAAATGGGTTTCCTTGCATAAATCCTCCTTATAAGTTTTTCTATTCCTTTCTTCCTTCCGTTTCTTTTCGCTGATTTCCTGCTATCGCCCACGCCCAATACAGAAGCCAAAAATCAAGTTTGCAGCTGACACCACGTCTTGACAGACTCCCAAGTAGTAAAAATCATGGCTTTAGGGTGCTAATACTCAGGGTTACAAGTTAACTAGCAGTAGTAAGCTGAACTGTTGTCATAATTTGTTATATAGCTTGAGGGGCTTGACTATGAATTGTCTACGTATCAAATATAGGCTTTTGTGTAGTTGCTTAGATGAATACTCGGTAATGTAAAATAACTGATTATGGAGAACAATGTAGAAGTATAAGGACTAGTTTGGTATGTTGAACACCATTATGAAAGAATAAGAAAAAGATTAGAAATTAAGAGAAAAAATTAATAATTGATATGGTGAATAATTGATTCAAACTTTATACTTAAAATCATTTAGGCTAAATTCACAACAAATGTAAACAAGAAAGGTAAAAAGAAAAACAGGAAAAATAGAAGTATTATTATAAGTTGCTACATTGAATTAGGCATATTTTGACACATCGCCATAGCGATGAGCACAAATGACATGCTTATTCTGGAATATGTATTACCTGAGATTTTAGGAGTTAAGCTGGCATGTTTTATTTTTCAAGTGTTTGAGGCGGTGAGGTGGTAGCGAATAAATAGATACTCATCCTTGTTTACATAAAATCCTACTAAGCCAGCTAATAAATCCCTTAAATATAAATAGATTCTTCAACTTACTCTCCCAGCTCTCTCCATTCTCTCTCTCATGACAAAAAAGAGGACTTACCTCAACATCTTGGTTTCTCAGATTAATTTAAATGGCATAAACTGTGTTTTGATATGTTTAATGCTTCTTTTTTCCTTGGCTTTTGCAGCTACCTCAGATAAAAACACCACAGTAGCTTCTCAAGGAGGCAGTATTGCTGCAGCCACAGGCCACAGTGTGGAAAAATCAGTAGAATTCTCTCTTGAAGAACTTGCTAAGGCTACAAATGACTTCAGTATGGCTAACAAAATTGGACAAGGCGGCTTTGCATCTGTTTATTATGCTGAGCTTAGAGGAGAGGTTTGCTGCACTTAATTGTCATAAAAACTACAAATTTGTGCCTTGTCTTATTTCATCTATTAAATATATCGAACCTTAGTCGTAGCTCATGTGTTTGTTTACCATATTTCTTCCATATATTTATCTTAATGATGCAGTAATTAGCCATTGTAGGATTTCAGTGGCATATTATCTAATTCATTGAACAATGATCCAACTTGTACCTATTTCTTCAATCCATTTTCCAGCACAAGGATCACATATGACATTAGACACTCACATCACCTGCCACAATTGATTGGACCAGTTTTTGTTCAGTTTCCTCTGGTCATGCTAACCACTCACCCTTTGTAGAATTAATTTAAACCAAACACTAAGAAGACTGGTAGACCAAAGACAGTGTCGGCAGCTGTTAAAAAGGAATTGTAACCCAGTGTTACTGTTAATTCATTAACTAGCACTCAATAGAAATGAATGGAGAGAAGGATTGGTTCTTATAGAATGCACGGGTTCAATAGTTTCACTGTCATATTATGGCACGAGCACTGCAATATCTAATAAATATCTGAGTTAGGCGCATATACAGGGAGGTACGACTACTTTTACTCTTTCGACTTCTGAGAATGATTTATGATTTTTGGCATTATTCAATTCTAGTAGAGCTGTTAGATAACAAACTAAATCAACTTTCTAATTATGTGGTTAGGTGTCTGGTACGATCTGACGTCAAAATCGAAATGATTTTCCACAAACAATAGGACAAACACATTTTATTTCCGGAACACCAAATCAAAACAATACAACACTAATAATTCACAGAAATACAAAAGATAAGCACCTACAATTCGAGAGGTGGGTGATCTCCAATTCTTATAATTTGAGAGGTCGGAAATCTCTCCAAAACACTAAACCTAATATATAAGTCTCAATCTCATGCATAAACTTAACCCTAACCATGATATGCATATTTATACTCAACAACAATAGTAATAATAATAAGAGACTAATTGCCCACAGTCATATAAAAGACCAAATTGTCTTTAGACTATGCACCGACGTAACAATACTTCCCCTCAAAAGACACATTGTTCTCAAGGTGGGAAAAAGTGAGAGCATTCAACCACAACTGTCTGTATTTTTTTATCCCGTCTCCTCGTCACGCACTATGAAGACTTATAATTTTCGATCATTGCAATGATGTCTTGTGGTAAACTTCTCACCACATCGAAAACATAATGCCTTGACAATGGCATTATGTTTGAGTGTTGCTTCTCGTTGTGATTCATTATTCCTGTCTTGTGCAGCCTCCCTCTGGACTTTTGCTATTTGAGTTTTTGGTATCGTTGTGGTTGTAGCAGTTTGATACAATGCTCCATCTGTGCTGCTCCTACTGGCCTTCTCCATATGGTTCTTGTCCTTGATCATTCAGAGTAGCTCCATCGTCTCCCTAAATCGCGTGGTCTCAATAGTCAGAGTGTTGCCTGTATGTCGGCCCTTAGAATCTTCATGAAATCCCCTTTCAATTGTGCTTCAGAAATCCCCCCTCAGCATCCCTACAATAGCTCAAATCTCTCTATATATTCAATGATAGTCCCCTTCTGATTAAAGGCATCGAATCGCTCGAATGACTTGGAAATGTTATAATAAACAATGCTTCAATTCTTCTCACGATCAGATCGGGTTTCTAGCTTCCCTCTATTGATACTATGCTAGAGTTTTATGTTCCAAACATTACCTTGCTACCATGAGCTTCTCCTCACCAGCTAGTCAATTCAATTCAAAGTATCATTCTACCCGATATATCCATCTGTGCATGTCCTCCCCTCGAATATCAACATCTTCAACTTCTTAATCCTAGCACCACCAACCCAACTTTCTCTCCCTCCGTTGTCTCCCCACCCATCGATACCCACCCTTGTGCTCCCAATCCAATGTTTGCAATGAAAAAGAGATCTCAATCTTGTATTGTAAAAATTTGTTGAGGCAAGAATTTGACGCACATCTTTTGTAATGATTTGTGTTAAGATTTCAATCAAGTTAGTTTTCCTATTTATTTGATGGATAAGTGCTCTCTCTCTCTCTCTCTCACTCACATACACACATGGGTATTATATTTTTTTGATTGCATTAAAAAAAGAAGTTTGCACGCATGCATCATTATTAATAAATGAGCGCATACTTGTGCTTTTGTGTATTTTTTTATTTTCTCGAGTTGTTTCTCTATCAAACCAAATCTTAAGTTTTCTATGATAATAATTGAATACCAAATTTGTTATTGTTGACCGTAAAAAAATGAGTAAAAGAGAAATAAAAAAGAATTAAGACCCTAATTGCTCCTGCAAGACTGCCCACTCATTTGGTTTTAAAAGTTGTTGCACGACATAATGAAACCCTCACTATATCTATGTGACATTCGCACGCATTTGAAGCCCTCTCTCTACCTGTTCGAGCAATATGGTCATGATTAGGACTAGCAGGAAAAACAACGACGAGATCATTTTGTACATAGACCTCATAATCTTCCTATTCCTCCCTATACACAATGAAGCCGAAGCCCGGTTCCTTCCTCTCGATTGCAGCCTTTCCATGATCTCTTGTTGTGTTCGTGTGACATAGAAGTCGTAGAAGACCTCAAGCATTTGCTGGAAAGGCAATGATGGTATTGCAGTGTGCAAATTCCTTCGAAACTCCCATCTTTCTCCCGATTCTACATGCATAGTGAGAAGAATTTGCCGCTCCAATCAAAGCCCCATCCTCCTGTTTGCATAGCACTTGCTCATCTCCATCTCAATACAACTATGACCAAAGCAAGCTGGGAAGACAATGTCAGATCACGACATACAAAAACCTTCAAAACATCTCTCACCTTTTTTGCGCCATCTCCTCTCCCTCTTAATATAGTCACGACTAAAGTTAGCAGAAAAGCCAACTAGGGGATCACAACGAACAAATTGTGAAACTCCCATCATTTTGTCCTACTCCACCCGTAGCTCAACTTATGCCAGAGACCCTCCACCTTTCTTCTATTTCACACGATAGATAAGCTGGTTTGCCTCTTCCTTTTAGTGTTGTAAGTCTTGCCCCATTTCATTTAATGCATCTAGCCCGTCTCCACCATTCCTCCCAACTTCACTTCCTTTGCTACCGTGCCTTAAGCCGAACCACCCTCTACCATTCCTGCACTCGAGACCTAGACTACTTTATATGACCGAGCCAAGGACCTCACTTTATTCCTTCGCCCCTCTCCCTACTCGAGATGCAAAAATCGAGCCCTCTTATTCGAACTGAGCCCAAGCCTGAGACCAACCCTGACCCGACCTCCTTCCTATCTAAATCTAAAGTTTTCTTCCCTCATTACATATATGTATATATATATAATAAAAAAATTCAGAAAAATCAATATTCACGTTTTCATTTCATTGATTCCATCATCTTATCGATCTTATTTCAGCGATCCCGAACATCTTCGATTTCACATTCAAAGGTGTAACAAAATGTGGCAAGGGAATTTTTCTTAAAATATTAATTCGGGGAAGCTCGAGTATTTGTTCAGGGGAATTATGTATTATTCAGAGAAATTGTGTACTCTTTTGGAAGTTTTCAATTAAAAATCAGGGATATAAATACCCATCCTGAGAAACATGAGTACTTGTTCAGGGCATTAAATACAACAACAACAACAAAGCCTTAATCCCACTACATGGGGTCGGCTACATGAATCCTTTTTCTCCATTGCGTCCTATTTAGTGTCATATTTTCATTTAGTTCTAGTAAATTAAGATCATTTTTAATACAATAAGCCCAAGTCTTCCTAGGTCTACCTCTGCCTTTCTTAACACAAGTCGATAAGTCAAATCTAAAACATCCACTCTCCTAATTGGATCATCAGATGGTCGACGCTTATCTAAGACAAGCCATCTAAGACGACTTTCTCTAATTTTGTATGTCACAAGAGCTATACCAACCCTATCATGGATATGCTCATTTCGCATTTTGTCTCTAAGTGTAAAGCCACTCATCCACCTAATCATTCTCATCTCGGCAACACTTAACTTAGTATTATGCTTCTCTTTTAAAGGCAAACATTCAACGCCATAGAGCAATTAAACATTCAACGCCATAGAGCATTGTTGGTCTCACCACCGTCTTATAAAATTTTTCTTTCAGTATAAGGGTTACTTTTCTATCACACAAAAGACCCGTAGCATTCCTCCACTTCAACCAACCAACTTGAATTCTACTATTAACATCCCCATCTATATAACTATCGCTTTGAATGGCCGACCAGAGATATCTAAATCGTTTATACCTTTTAATAATTTGATCACCCAAAGTTACATTTCTGTCACTAGAGCTATTTCTACTAAAATTACATTCCATGTATTCAGTTTTAGTTCTACTCAAATGAAGGCCTTTAGACTCCAATGTAGACCTCCATAATTCAAGTTTTTCCTGGGCTTTTTCTCCCGTCTTATCCATGAGAAGGATATCATCAGCAAAAAGCATACACCAAGGTACATCCTCTTGTAGATGTCTAGTAAGACCATCCATAACTAAAGCAAAAAGATATGGGCTTAAAGCCGATCCTTGATGTAATCCAACATAAATAGGAAAATATTTGATCAATCCTTCTTCAGTTTGAACACAAGTAACAAGTCTAGTATACATATCTTTAATGACTTGAATGTAAGTCATATCAACACCTTTCTTCTCAAGAACTCTCCAAAGGATATCTCTTGTAACCTTATCGTAAGCTTTTTCTAAATCAATAAAAATCAAATGTAGATTCTCCTTATTATCTCTGAACTTCTCCATCAAACTTCTTAATAAATGTATAGATTCCATAGTTGACCTGCCCGACATAAATCCAAATTGATTATGTGAAATCTTTGTAATACGTCTTAACCTATGTTCAATTACCCTCTCCCATAATTTTAAAGTATGACACATCAACTTAATTCCTCTATAATTTGCACACTCTTGTGCATCCCTTTTATTCTTAAAAATGGGGCCCAAAATAC